AAGAAAGAAAGAAAGAAAGAAAGAAAGAAAGAAAGAAATAAAGGAAAGAAAGAAAGAAAGAACGAACGAACGAACGAATGAAAAGAAGGAAAGAAAGAAAGAAAAGAAGGAAATGAAAGAAATAAAGAAAGAACGAACGAACGAACCAATGAAAAGAAAGAAAGAAAGAAAGAAAGAAAGAAAGAAAGAAAGAAAGAAATTCAGGAAAGAAAGAAAGAAAGAACGAACGAACGAACGAATGAAAAGAAGGAAAGAAAGAAAGAACAGAAGGAACGAATGAAAAGAAAGAAAGAAAGAAAAGAAGGAAATGAAAGAAAGAAAGAAAGAACAAACGAACGAACCAATGAAAAGAAAGAAAGAAAGAAAGAAAGAAAGAAAGAAAGAAAGAAAGAAAGAAAGAAAGGAAAGAAAGAAAGAAAGAAAGAAAGAAAGAACGAACGAACGAACGAATGAAAAGAAGGAAGGAAAGAAAGAAAGAAAGAACGAACGAACGAACGAATGAAAAGAAGGAAGGAAAGAAAGAAAAGAAGGAAAGAAAGCCGGGAGAGGAGGAGGAGAGACAGGAAGAGAGAAACGACCCCTGGCTGGCCGTCCTTGGGACGACGCAGCTTTCGATCCGAGGACAGGCGGCGCGGCCCTGGGGCTGAAATTGGCCTCCGACGAGGATGGGCCGTAGGCCAATGGCACGTGGCCAAACCGTGTTTTGTGCTAAGCCGCTCTTTTCCACCAATCAGGCCACCCTTTGCTTGATGCTTTGGATTGTTGGTTATCTGAACCCCTAGTCCTCGTGGGTAGCTGGGAAGCCAAAGAAGGTTGTCTTGCAGTTCTTGCGCAACAAAAAACATAATCTGTTCGTCTGGTGTGTTTCGGGGTTGGGGTCCCCAAATCCCTGCATTTGCTTGCGATGGATTCCGAGGACCAACGCGCCCTTGAGATCCTGGAGGTGAACGAGGGTCTGGTGAAGGCCCAACCGGGAATCCAGCGGCCAGCGGCTTCCTGTTGGTTCGATCCGAAGCCGTTCGGATCGAGGAGTGGTGCTCAAAGTGGCATTGCCAAGTCTTCAAGGGCGACAGGACCGTGATGGACCACAGCACAGAGAGCCGCCCCCACCGCCACGGCTTCAGGATCATCGCGGTGAACGACCAGCGCGGCGACAGCCGCAAGCTGCTGGACCTCATTCGACAGCCCTGGGCCCGGACGGACGCGAGCACCTGACCCCAGACAGTCTTTGTTGGCAAACGAACCTGGTCCAAAGTCACCTGAGTTTGAGCGATGTGTGAAAGGGTGGCTCCAGTCTCTTCGCACTGCAGACTGCTGTCGTTTTTTGGAAGCGCCTTCCTGGCGCTCCGATCAACGGATTCGCATCGACGGATCGTTTTTTTTGCATCCCGAGGCATCAGCAGCTGGTGCTTGTCATCGTGCGTGGCCGAGGCGACTCGGCGCTGCCAGACGCAGCTGTCCCCCTGCTGCACAACTTGCCCAAGTGTTCCCATAGGATTCTCCCATGGGTTTCTCAGAGGTTTCCCATGGGTTTCTCAAGTTTTCATGGGCTTTGTGGTTTCCCATGGGTTTCCCATGGATTTCTCATAGGTTTGCCCAGGATTTCAACGTGAAGGGCTCTGCTCCCAAACAGTCCCATGCTACAATGCATTGCGGCATCTTCTTGGAACTGCGGATGTTGACAGTGGAAGCAGCACAACCAGCGAAATCCCACGTGGCCAGCCTTGCGCGGGTTAGGGTTGCCAGCCTGAGGAAGAAGGCGGCCCCCGCCGCAGCGAGGACTGGGCCCAAGGGGAGTTTCTGGGCACGGGGTCACTTGGGGTTTGGAGAACCAACACATTGAGTTTCGTTAGATTATATAATGCATACAATACACATATATATATATATATATAACATACCCCCCCAAAAAAACAAACAAAACAAAGCAAACAAAAACAAAAGAAGCAATAACAAACACACGCTTTAACAGAATTTGGCGGCATTCGCAGTTCTTTGGATGATTGCCCCACCCCCCCTTTTTGGGCGCCCAACATTTGGGACCTTTAACGACCCCCAGTAATTATTATTCCTCTTATTTTGCTTATCATTAGCATTTTTTCAGTATTCTCATTCTCATTGTCATCATTATTATTCTATAGCACTGCAACATACGTCAACCGAATATGCCAAACGCATATTATGCTCCATGTACAATATATATATACACATATTCTTAGATATACCCTCCCACCAACTAACATGGAAGTGCGCAGTAGGCTTTTTCCAAGAGGAGAGTCGTCTTACAGGGGTTTGTGCACCAGCCCATGTTAGCTGGGAGGGTACATGCAATGTACTTGCCTGTGTCTCTCGCAGGACCTCCCCGCCGGAAGCCGGGGTCGGAGGCCGGACACCCAGCGGGAGTTGCGACATCAGCGGCGCTCCACGCGTTTCACTTTCGAGAGGCTCCCTTTTGGTTTCCCCAAGGTTCCCACCTTCCGGGGTGTCACTTGAAGTCATTTTTTTTTGTTCTTTTGACCGGCCATTTGATGTTTTAGAGCATCTTGGTAGCCATCTTCCTTTTGGCTTGCTTTTGGTGTCCAACTCCCAAAAGAAGGGTAGCCGAAGGAGTTCGAGATTTCAATTTTGGGCCGCTTGCTCAAATTCGATTCGGGTAGGTGAGAAGGGATGCTCCGAGCCCGAAATGCGCCTTCGCCGCCTTTGAAACCATCTGTGCATGGTTTTGGGTCGATCATGTTCATCCTGCCGGGTTTGATTCTGACTCAGCCGTGTCTTGCCGGATGCACACATTTCCCAGGGGCGGGGATAGACATGTCTTTGGGACCGGTGGAGTTTTTGTCTTCTTCTCCGGCCGCCAAGGGTTCCGCCGATCCGAGTTCAGCAGCCCCCCTCCGTCTTTCTTGCTGCGGGCCCCCCTTGCCCCCTCCCGGCAAATGCATCGCTGGGCCACGGATTCCGTGTCCTCTGAAGGGGCCGAAAGAGCACTCAACGCGAAGAAGATCGGCCGGCCGCTTCGAGCGCTCCCGAAAGGCTGAGCAGAAGGCTGACGAAAGGCCCGAGAGGGAAACGACGGTTCAGGATGGTCCAGCTCAGTCGAGTCGCGTGGCGCGGGCTCGACGTGCGAAATGGAACGCGCAGAGACCATCTCAGATGAAGGCGTATCAGCGGCAACCGGCAAGCAACCGCAAATAAGGCAAAGACGCAAGGCGCCGGAAAACATGCATGTAGACATTTACAGGATGTTTGAATGTCCAGATTTGTACCGACCATGAGCACAAGGCCGCCGCCGGAGACGGGAGCATGACCAATCTTGATTGGGTTTCCATTCTGATGCTTAAAGGTGCAGAAAAGCTCCTCCTTTTGGATGGTGTTGAATGGAACATCGCACAACTGAAAAGCCATTTCTGTAGCAACTTGGCTTGGATCATGTTTGTGTATGACGCTAACGCTTCCCTACACAATCCTCATATCGTGATTTTCTTTGGGATCTTTTGAACCAGTCATACAACATGGCCCTCCCCCAATTCCCGGCTTTCCAAAACATAGCTTCGATCCCGCATCGACCTGGCCCTTTGCATGTCCGGCTGGGAGCACTGTCTGCTCAAGAGGTCACCTTGACTCCAAGATGGGCAGCACATGCACAGCGAAGGAGGACTTGCGATGGCTTCGGGTCCGCGAACAGATGGAGGAGGAGTCGAGCTACGTGGCGCCCTCGACCATTTCCGCCCTGTCCCTAGAAATGGCCCGCCCACGCCAGATTCGCAAGCTGCATACCCGTGTGCAGCGCGGTGAAGATGAGGGGGCTTCAATTCCTTCGTGAAGTCTCGGTCCAATTTAGCCGGCATGACTCAGCTGCACACTTGTGCGCTGTGAATTGCAGTGAATCACGTGAGAGTGCAAGTTGCAGGGCGAAATCCGTTTGAGGCTGCGGCGCGGTCAAATAGCCGTAGTTTACCGCGTGTCGAAAAACAAATCAGCGCTCCAAACGCGCAGATCTTTTCTTTGAGACTTTCAGATCAACTGCACGCTTTTTTTGTTTTTTCGGACTTTTGACGCCGGTGAGCTTGCATGCAGCTCGGACTCCCGCCGCACCTCGGCACCAAAAGGCGCGCTTTCCGGCCGCGCTTTCCGGCCGCGGGAGACCGCGCTGTGCCGGCGGGGGGGTTGAGACGAGACGCAACCGAGGCGCAGATCCCGGGGGCAGCCGCGAGTGCCTCAGCAAGCCGAGTGAAGAAGTTTGGCCGAGGGTCAGGTTTCTCGAGGCATGTTTCTCTTGCACAGTGGAAGCAACGAAAACATGGAATTTGTCTTGGCATTTTTTTTGTCGGGGCCGGTAGGAGGGGTTTATGATTGGGGGTCTGTGTATAAATAGGAAGACGGGATTGGCAGCTGCTTCTTTTCTCAACAACAATCACCTGCGATAGGCTCTTGCTCGAGCAGATGCCTCCATCGCGGCTCTGCCCCTTGTGTGGCTTGTTTGTACGCCTCCAGATTGCTTCGCCTCCGACCGAAGGTTTGACCACTCCGGATGGCGGCGCTTTTCCCTTTTTTCCCTCCCCGCTGGCCCCGGGGCAGGGCGTCGGGTTTGGGGTTTCGCGGTTTTGGGCGGCTCTGAAAAGGCCGAAACCGCCGATTTCGAGGCCAAGAGCGCATCGCGGCGGCCCAGGCGCGGGAGAGTGGAGGAGAGGGGGGTTTTTCAGGTGAGATGAGGTCAGGTTAATCTCTTCTTGGCGGTTTGGAGTGGTTTGAATCTGGATTTGAACCCCTTCTGTTCCCCTTAGTGTATTGGTGGTTTGCATTGGTGGATTTGGAATTGGATTTCTGGTTCTTGTAGAGGGTAGGTGGAACACCTACACCAAAGCACCAAAGCACCAATCCAAATCACCAATTAGACGGCGCTTTCCCTTGCGGCAGCCCAGCCGTCAGTCGGACTCGTGCCGCCTCTCAAGAGGTTCTGGACAGGTCGCCGAGCCCATCTTGCCTCTTCGTGCCTAGGTCCCTGCGGCGGCAGCTATGGCGGGGTCGAGGCGGGAGGCAAGAGGCTGCCATCGCGCCGGTGGATGGCGGGATATGGCGGTGGGTCAAAGAAGTAGATCCCTGGTAGATGGAAACATGGATGGGCTTTTTGGCCCGGATAGAACTGCTCGGCTCCAGCGAGTTTCAAACTGGCAAACATCAGAGTCCGCCAAGAGACGAGCTGGCTTCCTCTGCTGGTTTCCCCCCCCAGTTTTTGCGGCATCGCTGGACCGTTGTTGGTAAGAAGGTGCGGATCTCTGGTTTTCCCCCTTCACGTTCTAAGTAGACCCTGGCTTCGCCGGGTTTTGACTCAGTTTTCCCCTTTGAGCCGACAGGAAGAAGCCGCGGCAGCCGGGCGCGTCGGCGCCGGAAGCGGAGGAGCGGTAAGGTTCTGTGCGCAAATGAAGAGTTTGGGAATGTGTTAATGAAGGGGGAAGGGAAGACGCCAACACTTGAACATCCAAAGCTGATTTTGGCGGTTGTTGCCATGGGGCCTAGAGTGAGGTGCCTTTGGTTTGTGCCGGGCGTTTAGCGGGCTGGGGACGAAGTTTGCAGTCGCCGCCTCGTCGCCGCCAGCCGCACCTCCCTCCTTGCGCGCGCATGAGGAGGTCCAGCCGCTCCCGGGAGAGCCGTCATGCACAGGAGCCCTGGAGCCGGGCGATGGAAACTCGGGGGGTCGAGCCAGCGAGGCAGCGAGGCGCCAGTGGCTGGCGCCATGCGCGAGCGAGTCGCCAGGAGGCGCGGAAGTTGCTGGAGAAGATCTCGCACCGCGCCAGGTGCGGCGTTTGCCCGGAGCTCGGCCGGGGGACATCTTCTTCCGTTGGGGGACATGGCTGTGGGTCAAAACCAACGGGATCCCATTTTGGGGTAGGTGCACCACCCATTTTAGTCTATTTTGGTGGGGATTGGGATGTTCACTGGGGGTAAGATTTGGATTTTGACCCATGGCCAAATGAACAATCACGTGATGAATCCTGACATGACATTTGGCTGGACGACTCTTGGCTGGACCTAAACCTTGGCCTCTGGAGACCTGAGGCACGGAGTTGTTGGGCGCCTACGGCACCCTAGACCTTCGCAAGCCAGGGGCTTAGCCCAGAGAGGGAGCTTCAAAGCGGCGAAGATGGGGTCTTTCAGGTGCGGGCACCCCGTGCACGCGCAGTGCCTGGTGGGCGCCGAGCGAGACAGCGAAGGAGCGAAGGGTCGAAAGGTTGCGGGGCGCGAGGGGAAGTCTCGACGTGTAGCGGGACGGACATCTCGACATGGCTATGGGTCAAGACCCATCGCCCCGGTGAACACCCAGAACGCCTTCTGATTTGGACAACGGGGGAGCAAGCACTCCCAAAAAAGGCGCCTCAGGTTTTGACAGCCACCTCGCCAGGCCAGATCGTGTGCAAGGCCTGCGAAGCGGAGGCGCAGAAGCGCCCCGCGCCCAGATCGGGGGGGGGGGGGGTGGAATCGGCTTTGGGGGGCCTGGAGTCGGTGCTCGGATGTGCTTGTTCCGCGTTTTTGTTTCTCGGCGGTTTTTTCTTATTTATTTTTATTATGTCCTTATTTTTTTATTTTTTTTTCTCGGCGGTTTTTTCGGCCGGAGGTTTGAAGAGTGCACGGCGGAAGGCACGGCGAGTGAGTGCGTGGCGGGTGAATCATTGCCCAAGGGTCCGTTCCAAGGGATCCTACTGCCTCAGGGCTTTAAGTGGGGATGTTTTTGTTGGGTTACGTGATTCAAGTCCTGTGACGTCCTTGAACCACATGACGTACATGACTCAAGTCCTGTACTTTGAACAATTTTTTCTGTCGCCCAGCGACCGCTTCGTTGATGTCCATCCTGGCTTGGGGAATCCAGGCCCGCGACTCCAGCTCGAAGAGTTCAAGCTCCAGGAGGGGAGAAGGGAATTCCGAATTCCGCCCCTTGGCGTGGGGATGCTTGGGTTCAAGGCCTCTCTCTATCTCTCTTAGTCCCCATTTTGTCCAACCATTTGCGCACGTTTGCTTGGGTAAACCATGTTCAAGCAGCACGTCTTTTTTTCCGTGGGCAAAACAAAACCTTCAAGCGCTCCTTCGCAGGAGCGAGAGCAGCAGCTCCGAGGATTCCAAGCCGCCAGGCCTCCCGCGACCTCCCGCGACCTCCCCCCCCCCGACTCGCGCGACGGGAGTTATGTTCATCCATGACTTTCTTTGCATTTTTGGCTTTAAGGGGAATGGATTGCACTGGACATATTTGTCCTCTTTTTTTCCAGGGGCCGAAAACGCACATGGAAGATGATACTGTGCGCGAATCGTTCTCCTCGGCGAGGCGCGCTGTTTGCGATCCGCGGCTCCTCTCGCTTCTGCTCCAAATGCGGGCAGCACTTGGGCTGGGCCGGGCGCTGAGCGGAAGGACTTGCCACTTGCCACTGGCACTCACTGGCCCCAGTTGGCCATGGGTCATAAAACCTATGCATTTCTCCATTTTGGGGCGGATGAACACCCATGTACCACCTATTTTGATGTTCAGCAGGGGTTTCCTGATACCATTGGTTTTGATCACCACCGCCAGTTGTTCTCGGCTTCTTGAGCTGTGCTAGAAAAGAGCGGCGGTGTCGAGGTCGAAAGGGCCGCTTCGACGCAGCAAGCGGCCGCGGAGGCTTTGTGCCTCCAGCCTAGACTCGTTTGACGCTGCTCGCAGGCGTGTGGCTCCAAAATGAGCCACAGTCAAAACCGATTCGGGTAGATGAAGGTTAGTAAGGGACGATCCCCTTGCCACAAATAGCTGCGGATATCCGCCTTCTTAGTTCTTTACTCCAAAATGTTGGGAAGCTGGCGCAATTGGATGGGACGTTTGTTTTTTTCTCCTCGTTTTGGCTTTGAAACGCACAGGGAATTCCCCAGTTATAGACATTTTTCTATGCACAACTCCGGCGAGAACTCAGGCGAAGGCTGCCAAAGGGCGGCGCAAGTCGAAGCGTCCGAAGCAAAAGAGGCGGAGGAAAGCGACGATCAGATGGAGGTTGGGGCTGCGGGGCTGGTGTCGCGTTTGGAAAGCAATAGGTTTAACAAAGGTATGGCTGTGGGTCAAACATAGGGAAACCCCAAAATGGCTTGCCCTGGTAAATAGACACATCGACTAAAACCCCCCGGTTTGCTGGGGGTTTACTTTTGACCCATACCCGTATGGAGAAACGGAATGACCTTGGTATGTGAAATAAGTGACAGTCCTCACTTCCCAGACTTGGGTGTTGATCAAAGGTTCGGTAAACATAGGATGACCAGCTGTTGGACAACCACAAGAATAATGATGTGTCCACCACATGGGAAAGTTAGCAATGGCCAAAACTGGGGGTCCGTTTGGGGAATCGTTTGCTCCCCAGTTCTTTCCGGGTCAGCTCGCCTAAGCCAGTCAGCTCGAGGTGGACGAGTGGGGCTTTCAGATGGCCATAGACCAGGCGAGCGGAAACGACTCACCGGACGGGAGATGTGGGTGAAATGGACCAAGTCCAAATCCTTGAGGGCCATTTTTTTTTTGGGGCGCATCACGTTTGGTGCGCTGAAGGCGCTAAGTGGGAGACACGGGTCGAAGAGCCAGTGCAGTGAAACAAGTCCAAGAAGCTGCAGAAATAAAGCTGGTCTTGTTTCCGGCAGTTTCACTTCCCCGGAAAAAGTAAAACGTAAGAAGGTGAAACTGCTGGAAGTAAGACAAGCCTTTTTTATCGCAGTTCTTCTTGGACTTGTTTCACTTTACCGGCTCTACCAGACAGAAAGCCAAGGTTGGAAGCAACTCGACGTCAAAATGAGCTATGCTGACGAAACTTTGATATTGGTTTGATGCCACAAACTAGATAGAGGCAAATCTGATACCAACAACTCCAGCTGGACTGTGACTAGGATCACACCAAAATGAATTTCAATGCCAAACCATTTGCAAGCTAGAAGCATCAATGCTCAACCACAGTGCAGCAATGGCCTTGCTCTCACGTGCCAGCATGTTGCATTTTTCACCTTCCGAGACTTGACTGACTGTTTTGCAGCCATTCACACGCTTTTTGTTTTTCTTGTTTATTTGTTTGCGGTGGGACAGCTATCTATATGAAGAATCTACCCATTCTCGTGGCAGACGTAGGTTTCTTCAAGAACCAGCACCCATCGAAGCGACGCCACGCCGAGGTACGGGAGGCGTCCGGCGACGCTGCGGCGGTGCTGGAGGCAGGATGCCTTCGGGTTCAGGGGGGTTCCAAGGGGAGGCGACACATGGGCGGGTCTTCTCGCGTCGTTTTGGCGCGTCGTTTTGGTTTCCGCTTTGCCAATGGGGCCATGTTGGGCGCCATTTTTTTAGCGCCGCGGTGTTCGGGAGTCAGGGGGCGTGAAAATGAGCAAGCTTGAGAACCAACCGGAGGGGGGGGGGGGGAGAATACTCGTGCCAGAGAGAGGTCATAGGTCATAGGTCCTTTTGATCCGACTGCAGGCCCTCCTGAAGTCTAAGCCTTCGGAGGAGTTTCTGAAGGCGAGCGGTGTTGCCTGTAAGCTCGTTCGAGGCAGAAAGCTCTCTTGCGGATTGGTTGCGGTTCAAGGGTTGAGGGTTGGTGAAGTGCTTAGGGCTGCATCGGCTAGAGACAAGCGGCTGCAATGGCAATTGCCCCATGCGCAAAAGGCCACATTATCGACGCAGCGCGTGCAAGCAAGTGCCGAAACGCCAAGACCCGGGGCGGTCTTAAGCGCATGATGCAGAGAGCGCGATGGGAGGAAGTCCTACAGAAACTTGACGATGAGCATTACGATACATGGGAGTGCCGTACAGGGCTGGAACGACAGCCCCAAACCAAACCTTGTTCCAGCTCCACGCTCTGCGCTGGTCACCAGCCGCTGGTCCTTTTTCCAAGTGAGTCACAATCAAAACCTAAGGGAAAGCCCCAGCCAGAATTCGTTGCGGCCGGCTTTCTAGTTCTTTACACAAAGTTAGGAAATCGAACATGTGAGACAGTCCGATGTTTCAAACGTGGACCATGCACAGGGGTCCTTAGGAACATTGTCTTGGCAATTCCTCCGCAGGTTGGGAGGGTAAACACAAGTGAGCTAACCGGATGGTTCCCAGCCATGTGGTTTTTAGGTTTTTGGACCTTTTGAGTTTGAGTGTTTAGTGGTCGGAATTCCATATAACTCAACATTTTCGTGGCTTTTCGCGGATCTGATGAAACGGACTCCCGAGCTCTGGACCTCTCATCAGGTCTTCTGAGAGAACCATTCAGTGCCCCTGCGCTGCGAGAGGCTGGGGAGTGGGAGACGACGCTGGCCGACCTGGCGCGGAACCTCAGCTCTCTTTTTCTCTTTGACCGCAAAACGGGGTATAGATGTTTCATAGATGGGTGAATCTCAAAGGGGGCCCCAAAATGCATTTAAGTCCCTTTGGTTACCGTTCTATGCGTTCAGAACCCCCCAGCCACCCGCCCACGGAGTGAAACGGGGATATTTCTATATATATATATATGAGCTCATATATGTATATTGATAGGTGGGTTGATATATTTGTTTATTCAAGCATATGCAAAGAAATCAACCCATATATTCAAAGTCTTGTCTTTGGTATGTCGCCTCGCCCAGCGAAGCGGCGCTTTGCGAGGACCTGAAGCCGCCCGAGGGCGCGCGGGCCGCCGCGCTGGCGGCGAGGCTGCTGGCGCTGTGGCGCCGAAAAAGTGGCCGAGGCGGCGAAAATGGCGGCGGGGAGCTCAGGGTTACGCAGGTTTTGGTCCATGTTTCCATTTACCTAGGGGCCATTTTGGGTACATTTTTTTGAGCCACAGCCGTTTGAATGGGATATGAAAACAGGCACGCCACACAAAAGGGCAAGTCTTCCGCGTGTTCTGGGTTCGGTTTTGTTGCTTCTGAAAGAGAGAAGACTTTCTGGTGGAAACCCCAAAGCTCTGGGCTCGAGAGGCCCAGAAATCGGCTTCGAAGGGTGGGGCGTGTTGGTGTTGGTGAAGATCTGGAGAGAGCCGCAAGCTGCGAGGTGAGGCTGCGCAAAGTACCGCAGCAACGCCACCAGACGCCAAGTCGGAAGCTGGTCCAGGCCTTTCAAGCGGCCCTCTGACTAAGGCGGGGGGGGGGGGGGGCCGGTTTGTGTGAGGCATGGTTGTTGTTGGGAAACATTATATATTTTTTTTTGCTTATGGTGGTTTAGTGGTTGAAATCCCCACTTGACTGCTAAAAATGAAGTTTTTGCTCCCCTCCAACGTCAACCAAGGAGGGTCTGACGGGTTCTTAAGGACCGGCCACGGAGCGTTTCCCTTTTGCTGAGGGCTTCCTGGGCGCGCTGCTGCAAAGAGCACGGCAGAAGGCGAAGGATCAGCGGGCGGGCCGCGAGGAGACGGCGGGTGGCTGGCGGGCTGTGAGCTGGTGGGGTCTGTTGGGCGGATGTTCTCCCGTCTGTTGGGCATGGAGAAAAGGTTTGGTGGCCAGATGGTAGAGGCAAACGGGCTGTTGCTGACCGGGTGGGATGAAGCAGGCTGTTACCCCAAGCCCAGGAGGCTGAGGAAGAGGTCAAGGCCCCTGCCAAGGCACACAGCTGGTCGTGATACTGCCGAGAAATATGGGTATGGGTCAAAATTAAACCACCAGGGGACCACAGGTGTTAGTCATTGTTTCCATTTACCAGGGTGCCATTTTGGGCACCTAGTCTTGACCCGCAGCCATATTTGTGGCAAGGCACTTTCCATGATCTCCCTTTTCATTTGCCAGGCTGAGACCCCGCGGCCGCGCGCCTCTCAGAGATGCCGCTTGGCCCCGACTTCACCGCTTCCGACGTGTCGCCCTAGGAGCTCGCAGGCTCCTGGGCAGTGGCTGCCGGGTCTGGGGCCCCGGCCGGCGGCCAGGTCTGGGGGTCTGTGCCCAGAGCTTCTGAACATCGCAGGGGCCAAAAGCTCTCAGCCGAGGTTTGCCGCTGCCGCCCATGTACCCCTGGGCGGGGACCTCACGGCTACCAGCGACCGGCGCATTTCGAAGCGCGCCTGCAGGTGGCGGCGTCGCAAGCCTTGCCCTACTGACCAAAAAAAGTTTGCCCGCGAGCGAGCGCCGAGTCTGACAGTTGGAAGCGCAGCTTTGCAGCGCGGCTCAGACGGGCTAGCCGCTGAAAAAGTCACCAAAGAACAAACAGAACCACAGTGAAACCACACGGATCTCTGGTTTGATTCCCCAGGATACGCATGGTTTGACTTCAGTTGTCAACTGGACTTGAGCATCTGAGTTTTCTCAAAGTTCTGTTGAAGCCCGAGCTTCAGCTTCTTCGATTCAGCCTGCTTCCGGGCGCTACTGCGCTTTCGTCGGGTGCCAAGAGATCCCAGTGCATGGCAGAGTTTGCTTTCTTTCTCTTCCGGAAAGCAAAAAAAAGAAATGCAGAGGAGCTATATCTTCAGCTTCGCCTTTTCGGATTCCGTCTTCGGTTCTCTTCCAGCCTTTCTCGGCTTTTGGGCTCTCGTGCTGAGGCGTGAGGCCTCCGGCCATGGTGTTCACCGGCATCGTGGAGGCTTGGGGAGCTCAGCTGCGCGCTGGTTCAGGGCGGCGTTTCGGTCAGGAGATGGGGACGGTGATGAGCGTGGAGCGCAAGGCGAAAGGGGTTTGACGGGAAGGACTGGACAGTTGGAAGATTCCAAGGAGATGAGTTCGAGGACGGAAGCTGACTTGGGGAAAGAAAAGGTTGGAAGTCGGTGTCCCCAAGAATTCATTGACAGCACACGCACTATCAGACTCATCTTTCCAAGAAGGGTCTTCCGAGCCGATTGCGGGCGAGGCCGCCTTGGAGATGTGGGACGGAACGAAGTCCGAGGGCTTTGTGCTGAGAATCGCCTGCAAGGCGAGCTGGCCGCCGCCCTTTGGCATGGGCCTTCGGGATGGGATGGGGACACCCCGCCAGGTTGCCTTGCAAGGGGCCTACATTGGCTGCAGCATTGCGGTGAACGGGACCTGCCTCACCGCCACGCAGTTCGACGACAAGGCCGCCTCAAAAACAGCCGCATCGGCGAACATGGACGCTGAACCCACAGGAGGGAAACCGTCGAAACCGCGCCGTCGACTGTCGGTGGCTTTGGCTTTGGCTTTGAGAGGCCTTCGAGGTGAACTGCGCGCCCGAGACTCTGCGACGCACGGATTTGGGGGACCTCAAGGCGGGGGACTTCGTGAACCTGGAGCGGCCCGGGGCCCAAGAGAGAGAGCGTAGCCTCCCTTCCACTAACATGGCACCTGAGTCACAATCGACACCCGGGTAAGTGAAGGTAAGTAAGGAACAGTCCCAGTCATAAATAGTTACGGCCGCCTTCTTAACTCTTTACATGGTTCTGGGTCGACCATTTCAATAACCGGTTTTGATTGTCACTCACCTGGCAGAGGGTTCCTTGAAAAGAAAATCAATCTTCCAGATACCCTCGAGGTGCTATGTTCGTTGGAAGGGTATCAGCACTTTCCGGGCGAGCGACCGATTGGAGCGGATGCTAGGTCCATGGCCGCCTCGGACCGGAACTCGGGGCACTTTGTCCAGGCCGGCTGGTGGCTGATGGCTGGGCTGAAAAACTTGGGCGGCCGGGCCGGCTGGGGGGAGGCTCTGGTGTTCTTTTGGAAGCCAGGGCCACGTGGATGAAGCTGGGACCATCCTGAAGTTCACACCGGAGGGCGACTCTTTGTGGCAGCTTGGCGCAGTTCGCGACCTGCTTGCTGGGGATGTTGTGCACATCGGTGCCAGGGTGCGCATCTCGCTGAGTGACGAGATCTTGCCATCCGTCATTGAAAAGGGCCAATTGCTCAGTCGTGTTTTGAATCTCCGATGGGACAAGGACGCCCAAAATGCGTCTGGGCACTCCAAGACCAGCATTCTGACTTTTCGTGATGCCACGCTGGGGCAACATGTCTGTGGGTCAAAACCAATGGGATCCCATTTTGGGGTAGGTGAATTCACCACCCATTGTAGAACCTATTTTAGTGGTTGGATTGGGATGTTCACTGAGGGTACGATTTGGGTTTGACCCATGGCCCCTCTGTAGCTCTGCATCTTCGCCATGGATCGCTCAGGCTACATCGCCGTGGATGGCACCAGTCTGACGGTCTGCCAGGCGGGAGCGGGGAGCGCCGTGTCTCACAAGACGTACGCGAGCGAGTCGAGGGTGGCGCGAGCCATAGCTCGCTTTCTTTTGAGCGACGCGTTGAACCGGTTTGGTGGGACGCCGGTGGCTATCCTTTAGTCCAAACGGTTACCCTTTGGCTTGACTTGACGTGCATCGTGTTTTTTTTCTTCTTCTTTTCTAAGAGTTTGGCTTGCGGAAAACGACTTTCCGCTGGCAAGTGGCGCAGGTGAACCGCAAGGAGAAGTGGTTCAACCTCATGCTGATTTCGCACACCCAGAAGTGCATCGTCATCCCTAAGAAGAAGGCGGGGCCCCCTCACTTGAGCCTCGCCTCGCCCGCGCGGGCGCTGAAGGTAGGCGAACGAGTGAACCTTGAAGCCGACTGCCTGGGCAAGGCACGGGGGCGTGGGTCATACCTCCAGGAGACCAAAGTTTTTCTTTTTTGAAACCCAAGCCACCCACTGGCCGTCCCAAATGACAAAAAAACAGATACTGAGATGCTGCATGGTGGTTCTCAAGGAAGCCCGCACCCCCACTTCGCCCACCAAGTCCTCTAAACTTTTTTTTTGCGCACAAAGTTGACTACAGCAGGTTTTTTCTAAATGGGGGTGGGATCCTTCCACCTGAAACCCAGCCCCAGTACGCCGCCTCGGCGGCTTCCCTGGCCGCCGGCGCGGTGCGGGAAGAGCTGCGGGAGGTGCGGCGGCAGCTGCGCTGGACGCAGGCGGCGCGGGCGACGCGGCCGGAACGGGGAGACTTGCATTCGGCTTCGTTGGGCTCTGTCGGTTGTTTTTTCTTTGAAGATCACCCCGAAAAGGTTTGGAGGGATTCTTTTTGTGAAGGTTTAGTGTTTCTTTTTTTTGGGAATGAATGCAGATTCGGGTTCGTGGAATGTGTTCCGTCAGGTTTTTTGCTTTGATCGGGTTTTGCCTTCCATTTTTCGTGCCTTGGGGGCGGGAACCCACCTTTGGGGATCTTTCTTCCCCATTTCGATGTTCTTTTGAGGGGCCGTCAGGCGGGGCTTGAGGTTGGAGAAGGGTAGCGGGCCCTGGGCCCATTTGGGTTTTCACTGGGCGCCTCAGATCTGGGAGGCTCGTGCCGAACGTCGGTGGGGGGAAATGCCGAACCGCGCCCAGCGCGACAGGTGGTTGCGGCCCTGTGCTCAGCTGCTCTGGTGGCGACCCTTGGAGCGGAGATTTGGGTGTGGCTTTCTTGATGGACATTCGTCCACCTGCCATGGAGAAAGGACCATGTTGTTCCCAAATCTCACAACTCATGTCACATTCCATGCCGCGTAGTCGGGGGACTGCGTGGTTGGCGGCTTCTGAGAGTCTGCAAAGCGCAGTCGCTGCCGTCTTTTGGGGTTGGCCACATGCCCTAGACATGCTGAGCATCGAGAGTTGAATTGGGCAGCAGGGCTGTGTTCGGAATGTTTTGGCTAAACCTGTGAAGAACGTGCAAGAGAAAAGCCAACTCAAGCAGAGAAAAGACAACAGGCAAAAACAAGTCATCTCTCCTTGCTGTTCTCCTCTCCTTCAACATGCCTGTTACATCTCCTTACAGCAAGAACACAAGGCATCTCTTTTTCCGGATGGTGCTCCCCTGCTCTCAGTACCGGGGCGTACTGTTGAAAGTGTGAAGTTCCCAGACATCGACGATGCTTTTGCGATTCCACGGAGCAAACTCTAAGGGCTTCCCGCTTCCTGCCATGGACATTCTGCATTTCTTATGTTGTGATACGTTCCGCTTGTTTTGTGTGTCGGGATCTTCGGCGGAAAGCACAAAAGGGAGGATCTGGGAATGGCGTTTCTGAACTCGCGAATCCAGCGAGAGAACACAAAGGTGACTCACGCACGACTGCGTCGGTTGCCCGTCAAGGAAATTGCGGCTCGCAGTCGAGCTGGGGCAAGCCTGTTGTGCGAATCGAGGGTCTTTGGCCCTGTGGAAACCCAGGAAACCGCAAGCTGCGGAGGGAAAGAGGCAGCAAATCGCCTCGCCTTGGTCGTCCTCAGGAGAGCGCTGCGAGGAAAGTGAGCCGCGGCGGATGTACAAAGCAAGAGGGACTTTCAAGCAAGTCCGCTTCCCTTTTTCTGCAGCTCAAACCTCCGACGAGGGCGAGTCGCGCACAGTTCAAATGTGGTCTCGGGATGCACTCATGAAGGTTTCTAATGTACTTGTACCCGGTTGATCGTAGAGTGTCAGTGAAGCAGCCCTCGGAATCAGCTTCACTTGCACCAATTCCTACATTGTCAAACAAAAATTTTCCTTGCCTCGCTTGTCACGGAAAGAGGACCGCGAGGCATCGCGACCGTGGCCTCGCTCCTCGCTCCGCCGCGCCCTTTCCGCGTCGGCTCCAGTCGGTCCACGGCGCTCTCCGCGGTCCGAAGGCGTCAGCGGCGATGGCGCAGCTTCAGGGCCACAGGCGCCGAAGTTGGGCCGCGAGTCTGAGCCGGAGGTTCTTAGGCTTCTATATAAGCACAAAGAGACCGGGTTTGGTGGTTTTTTGGCACAAGCCCGCATGCGTTTTTGAAACAAGTAAACCAAGTTATTTTGCGGCATACAAGTGTAGGTTAAGGGACGCTTACAACCAGAGGTTGCGGATGTCACGCGTTTGTGGCTTTTTTTTTTTTTTTTTTTTTTTAATATCGATGGGTTTTGGTTGTGACTCAAGACTGAGCCTGATGCTATGATCGGATTCCGACATTCTTGTTTTTTGCGTGCTTGTGAGGCACGTGGTGCTCTCCTTGCTGCTGGCGACATGCTGTTGGTTGCTCGCGGGCCCTGCCTTCCAGGCATTGCCGTGTTCCGGGGAGCGGTCCCGACGAGCTGTTTGCTTGCCTACTACTTCAGTCTTCACGAATTGAAGTCGCTCGAAATCGGGCCCTTGAGCCGTCTTATCCAGTAAGACCCCAAGAGATTAAATCCCCGTAAATCCCCGCAAAATAAGCCATCTTATCCAGCAAGTCATGCGCCAAATCACCCTAAGAGATTGGCTTGAGCGGAGCTCGGACCTCGCTCATTGGGCCCTTGGCCTCGGATTGGTCCATCAAGCCGAGTCTCGAGGCGCCGCCGTCCGTCCAGCGGCTGCCAGCTCGCCAGGGGGCGCAGAGAGTGCAGACGCAGCTACAGGCAAGGTACTGTTCTTGGCTGGCCAGTATATTCGGCTCGCAAGATCTTGGTCAATACTTGGGTGCTTATCTTTGGGATGGAAACGAGTCATGGCAAACGTCTGGTTGAATGTGGAAAAGCTACACAAGGCTGGTGATCGGGTTTAGGACACTGAAACTGTCAGCCATTCCTTGCAGACGGAGTGGGGAGTTTTATCCAAGAGCTGCAACGACTGCCTCCTTTGCGTTTCAACTTCGCTTCCTTGCCTCCTCCTTCAACATTTCCCCTAGCTGACCTGGAGACAAGGTGGTTTTTGTTGGTTGGGTTCCCATCCAGCCACAAGAATGTTGGCTTGAAAAGTCCAACTCCAAGCGCCCCCATTCAAATGAAGCAAGTTCATTTGGAGAGTGCTTTGGTTTGCTTCCCCTTTTAAGAGAAGTCCAAAAATCCCAGCGACCCCATTCAAATGAAGTCCATCTACCCACAAGAAATTGGCTTAAGTCGCAAAAAATCTCTTCCCCCCAACCGCTGTCCCCGGTGGCTTTCTCTCTCCGCGGTCTCTGCGCTCTCTGCGCGTTGCTAGGCGGCGCCCTTTGTCGGCAAGGGCGTGCAGGCCTTCGAAGCGCCCCAGGCGCGGCTTTCGCGTCTTCCGGCGCTTTCTCCGTCTCCCTAGGTTCGTTTCCCCCCCAAAACAAATATATATATATATATATAGATGGAATGAGCAAACCTTGGATCCTTTCTTTAGTTGAGAAGGGCCTGTTTCCCATTTTCCCTCCCAAAGACAAATATGGCCCGGAGCTCGGCACGGCTCCAGCTTGAGCCAGGCTTCCGCAGATGAGGGCTCGGAGGCTTCTCCGTGGGGCGCCTCAGTTCCGTTCGGCGAGATCGGTTTCTGTGGGTTGCGCTCACCAAAGTGAAGCCCAAGCACTCGATGTCTCGGTGTTTTTCTCACAGCACTGGTGTTGTCCTCAGGAAAAAAGAAGCATCTTGCAGTGCTCATGTCTGCATTTCTGCCAGGTTGGTTGGGAAGCCAGGGGCAGGTTGGCAAAGTGAGGCAAGCCGAAGATCCGGGAAGAGGCTGCGGGCCGAGGCTGGCGGTTCTGGCCGCGACGGCCCTGGCGGCCACGGCGGCGTCAGCAGAGCCCGCCAAGGCTGGAGTCGCCCGGCAGAGGACCAGGATTCCATATTTGACATCTTGGGACTTCAAATCTTATGGAGGGAGCACCCCCTATGAATAAACAGGGGTTGATTATTGTGGGGTCAACATTTGGCGTTTGTTTGGGTACCTTTTGCGGCCACATCCATCTGGCTGTGGGTGTCAAAACCGTTTTGGGATCCCATTTTGGTTGGTAGGTGAATTCACCACCCTATTTTAGTGGGGATTGAATCGGAGGTTCACTGGGGGTACGGGATTTTGACCCATGACCACATGACATCTTGGGACTTCAAATCTTTTCACCCCTTCAGACAATGACCAGTTTTCTTTGTTTAGCGAGGCAAAAACAAAACTTTTTTGGGGCCACAGGCCAGAATGGGCACTCCTGATTGGACAGTTCTTGTTCTTTTTACTTTGGCGGGGCCAACTTCGGACGTTATGGGGACTCCATGTGCGCAGCTTGGCTCAAGACCGCAATTTCTGAGAGCTTACATGCGGCATGCACGCATTGGAACCCAGAAAAACCATAGGTACTTTGACTTTGAGCCTAAACTCTCACTGCAAAAACCTCAGCGACCTCAGCCAACCGTCTCGCTTCAAGTTGCGAGTCCCCGCCGGAGAGACTCTGATGGGTTCGGACCCTGACGCGGACGGCGCGGACGGCGCGGATGGCCGATGAGCAGCTCAGCTGGCCGAGCTTCCGACCTTCTGACCTCAGCTGTCCAGATTTGGCCCCAAAAGTCACGGCCCCAAAAGGTCATGGGTCCATCGTCACCCCAAGAGGTCATCAAACAGATTTGGGTATGGGGTCAAAATGGATCCACCAGGAGACGGCAGGTTTTGTCTTTTCCATTTTCCAGGGCAACCCATTTTGGGGCTACCCTATCTTTGACAACCACAGCCATTTCGTGGCCCCTATGGCGGTGGCTCCCATCCCCTTAGACTTTTTGGCCTTTTGCTTCGTGGTAGTTTCTCACCAAAAGTCAAACTTTTAGCGGGGGACCTGAGGGCAGAAACGAGTCCCCGGCGCGTGCCTTTGGGGCCGAGGAAGCAGTTCCGGCGCCCCAAGTGGTGCTGCCCGCCCCGCAGCCCGGAGCGCCAGAAGCGGCCCGTGCGCGTGCTGGGCACGCAGGAGGCGTGGAGCCTCGTTCGAGAAAGACGCGCGCGTTTTTGTCGGCTTGGACAGGGGAAAGCAAAACAAGACGTCTTTTGAAGGGCCTGGAATGCGAGTTCGAAACAAAACAACTCTCGGAAGAGAAGCAATACAACACACCCGCCTCAAAGCGCTGTGAGCGAGCGCCCCGCAAGATCGCCACTCGTGCTCCCCATCCATATTGGCCATGTTTTATTTATTGTCTTTTTTTTTAAACAGGGAACCGCCTTACGTGAGTCCCCACCAAGACAACTTTGACGTCCACCTACACTTGAGTCCCTTAAATGCCTCCTGCCCCGCTTCGCATTTTTCCTCCGCTTGAACCCGCCGCTTGGCGCGTGGCGTCCTCGCGGGCGGCCGTTTTTGCTCGGGAGAGGCGGCGCGCAGCTGGGAGCTGCTGGAGAAGGCCGTGTACCTGGTGGGCCGCCACGAGAGCGCGGACTTCCGGCTCCAGGGCGAGCCGCCCGCCGGGGGGGAAAAGCGGGCGTGGGAAAGCCCCCCATGAGTCCATGAGAGCCATTTTTTTCTTCAAAAGGGCACCTAGGGAGATTTTCGTGAGAGACTGGATGGGGCATGTGAGCCACGTGCTCAAAACCGCCTTCTGGGTCGACGTTTTAGTTCCAGGTTTTGATTGCGACTCATGTTGGGGTGGTGGACATCGCTTGAAACAGCGCTCTTACCCGAAAGTTTGTCTTTTTGGGGGTAGGGGCAAACAAGGCGTGCCGAAAGTTTTTTGTTTTTGCGGGGTAGGGGCAAAGACGTGCAGCGGAGAGAGAGTCTACAGAAAACCGTGTCCCAGCGGTTTGAGTGCTGCTCCTGCGCCAGGCAAGTTGGGCGAGCCCATACCACCAAAAGCCATTCCAAGTTATGTGGTCCAAAGGAGCAAGGAGGCTGACTAGCCAAGGCTGGTCTCCAGATCACATGCCGCTGTCCTGCAGGACGGGGTTGTTCTTGACTGCCTCACGCTGGCAACCCATCTCATTTTTCCAATATTTGTTTGATGACGCGCACACACACACACACTCACCTTCCGGCCCATCTGCATGTGTTTGCCTCCCTCTCCCTCCCTCCCTCCCTTCCTTTCCTTCCTCCCTTGCCTCCTTCCTTTCCTTCCTTCCTTCCTTTTCCTTCCTTCCTTCCTTGCCCGTTTTTTTCCCTCCCTCCCTCCCTTCCTCCCTTCCCTTTTCGGCTTTCCTTCCTTCCTTCGCCTCTTTCAGGACGCGGAGGGGCAGCGGTTCCTGGTGGACCTGAAGAGCACCCACGGCACCTTCCTGGACTCCGCGCGGCTGAGGAGTCACGAGCCCACGCCCTGGCGCGAGGGCGCCCGGGCCGCGGGGCGGGGGTTTCGCGGTCGGCGAAACCGTTTTTCGGAGAGCCGAGCCGCCAAAAGACAACGGGTTGGAGGAGGCTCATCCTGTTCCTTTCTTTTGGGTGGTTCCTCGTTTTTTTTTGGGTGGTTATGTGGGTTTATCCTCCAAGGAGGCGTTTTTTGAGGATTTGTGTGGGAGAGTTTGGGGGAGAGTTGGTCAGTTTGCGGGGGCTCCACGAATCACGGCACCCCGGCTGCGAAACATGCTGCGCTCTGAAAATCTGCGTTGAAGACGTTGAATCGCCACTGGTCGCCGCCGGTCGTTGCCCGCTGAGGCCAAATGGCGTCCTTCGGCTTCGGCCCCAAGGCGAGCTTCATGGTGCTGGGGACCATGGATGAGCCGCCGGCGAAGCGGAGAAGAACGGAGGAAGAGGACTCGCAGGACGAACGATTGGGGCACTCGGCGGAACTGCCGTGTGCGTCTCTCTCTCCGACTTTTTTGAGGTATTTTTAGTCTTATGGAATCTTCAGGGGGGCTAGGGGGGGGGGCTATCCCTGGATAAGTGCAGGATATCCCAAGGATAAGCCCTTACTTGTTAGGGGCTTAAGAGATAGCCCCCCTCCCCATAGCCCGCCTTGGTCCATGAAAGTTGGAGCTTCTCTTTGCGCCGGCGCGTGAGCCCCCCAAAGGTGGTGGATGCGAAGACGGACGACCCCATGGCAGCACTCTACGGAGACCTGCCGGAGGCAGCGGAGGTGGTCGCGCCAAAGGCGGGCTGCGATTGGCGCGATTGGTGCGCTTGGGCCACAGGTTCGGTTGCCACCAAGGTGTGGAAATGTTCCCACACCCAAATAGCCTGGTGGATTTGAAGATGGCGTGGTGATTTCTATTGATTCGTCAGGATTGAAGTGGGATCTGGGTATATATCATAAGGTCCTTTACATGGGAAGACCATTCCATTGGGGAAGATCACTGAACAACAGATACTTCCCACATGGGAGAAGTTACTCAAGGTCAAAACCGGGGGGGTGGGGGTGGAATATTAGTCTCATGATCAATCATTAGACCACCAAAAAGATGATACTCTCTCCCATGGGAGAAGCTACTCATGCATTTTGGGGGGCCAAATATGGATCGGCCTCCCCAGGTGGTGGAAACCAGGCTGCCGCCGCTGCCGGCGCCCAGCAAAGATCCCACCAGGGTTATCTTCCTGGACATCGACGCTTGGCAGATTGGACGCTTTCTTTTGTGTTTGTTTGTATATATATATATACACCAGAATAGTAATAATAACAATTTACTAATAATAATATTGATAATAATAATGATAATGATGTTTTTTGTTTGGGGGGGGGGTTTCGCTTTTTGATGTTTTGGGGTGGCAGAAGTGGCTCACCTGTATAAACCCCTTCCCGGCTTCCCGGTCATGTCCCACTCAGAGTCTGTCAGATCCAGTGGCTGTCGCAAGTAGCAAGCAGAAGTCCCAGCTGCGCGTTGGCTTTGGGCAGATCTACTGGGCTCTCGAGTCCGTTTTGCACGTTTGGCCTAGGATGGGGTCTTGAGACCGCTGCACAGCAGGCAGTCCGTGCGTCGTTCGTGTTGAGCCTGCTCGGCATTTTTTATCCGAGGCCCGGGTTGCATGTTGCCTTGGCACACGACGCAATCCCCTAAAGTCAGGATGGTAGGCGCGTTTCCTAGAAATAGAGATTCTTGAATGCCGCACTGGTAGCATGAGAGTCTGCCCCGTGCGCCACGTTGAATATAAGGTGAACGCCATAATTGGACCTAGGGTCTGAATCCCCACGATGATCTACTCAGCGGTTCAAAGCTTCCGGTAAATCCGACCCAATCGTGCAACCGATTCAGCCGAGACTCTCCGACAGACCAAACACGAGAGTTGCACATGAGTTTCGTTCCGACTCTCCGCAAAAACACGGCTCTGGGCGAGTTTGAGGCAGCTGGGGGTTCCGGAGATTCGTTTCAGGGGGTTGGGTCCGATGACCTTGGCTCATTTAGCAAAAAAAGATAAGAGGCTCCTTCCAATCATGGAAGTGGATAGAGGGGTTCCCCCAAGAGGAAAGGAAGGGAATTGTGTTTTGTTTGTTTTCTTGTTCAGGAAAGTAGCCTTCCAATCCCTTCCATGATCATCACCTGGGCTCATTTTTGCAAAAATATGTCAGGCAGGACGCCTTGATTGAAAAAAGACACCTCCCCCGGCAATTTCCATGGGCTTCTCAACAAAAAATCGCAGGCAGGACGCCTTCCAGAACACCCGGACCATCGAGATCAACGGCGCCCGGGTGCCTCTGCTGGGCAGCGGCGAGGCCAAGGCCGGCGTGGACTTCTGGCCCACCGCCCTCCGCGCGCTAAGGCGCGTGGCGGCGGCGCGCGTTTTTTTTTTTTTTTTTTTTTTTTTTTTTTTTTTTTTTTTTTTTTTTTTTTTTTTTTTTTTTTTTTTTTTTATTTTTATATATATATATATATATATTATTAATAAATGAATATGTGGGGCCCCTCCTAAGCCACGATAAAGGATCAGAACTTAGCCGCAAGAGACCAAAGGGACACCCATCGCCCATCTTTTTTCAGGTTCCTTTGGAGAGGTTTTCCTGTTTCAAGAGGTTCAGCACATCTACAGCACGCAGATTTTAAGGCACCTGCCTGGGGGGGGGGTTCGCCAAAAGCTGTTTTGTTTTTCCCAATGCCACAAGAAAGAAGGGGTGAAAATTGGCCGCAAGACAGGAGACACCATCTGTCTTTTTTGGATTGCTCTGAGAGGTTGCCCTGATTGAGAGGGCTTTTCTGGCATGGTTTGGGACATTCTTGGCGGGCAAGAGGAGTCGGGACTGTGTGGATGGTTTGAGTCGGGTCGGCACAAGGATTTCGGTGGCCGTGTCGGGGAGTCACACCTCTTTTGGTTTCCTGAGAATACGTTTGCAAAGGCGTTCCTTCTAAGAGCCGTGGGCTCTTGTCCGAGGGAATCAAACCTGGGGCCCTGCCAGGTTCATCGTCCAGAAGACGGAGGCGCGCATCGTGCTGAGCTCGGATTGGCGGAAGCAGGAGAGCCAAGCGAGAGCTTGGGGTGAAAGTCCAGGGACTGTGGGACCGTGGGACCTTCTTTTTCCCGGGCTTGGGTATGTCCTTCAAGATGTCCGGCCCTTAAAACGGTCGGCATCTATTCTTGGTTTCCTTTTCGTCCTCTCCTTGTTGAAGGGCAAGCAAAGGGTTCCTGATAAAGCAAAGAAAAGGCAGGCGTTTGGACAGAATCTATTTTCGTCCGGTTTCCTTTTGGTTTCCTTGATCGAAAAGCCATTTCTCAAACCGCTTCTTTGTTTTCTGGTGTTTGGTATTTTCGTCGTCTCCTTTCATCGTCCGAGCTGTTGGACCTTGCGCGAAGCGTCTCGGCCGAGGGTTCGGTCCGTTGGCCCGTGGGTCGGACCAACAAACAACAATGTTTGTTTTTTTTTGGTGTGTGTGTTTGTGCTTTTAGGTCTCCTTTGGTCGTCTCTTTTTGTCTCAGGCTCGGTCTCAGGCTCGGTCCGTTGGTCCGTTGGTCCGTCGGTCCGTCCGTTGGTCCTCCAAGCCACCAACTCGAGGGAAGCTGAGCAGATGCCCACCTTGCGTCTGCGATTTGCATTGCTCTCAGCTTCGTTCAGGAGGTGCTGAGGGAGGGCATCGCCAGCTCCTTCGAGGAGCACGGCATCCCGGAGCTCTACAGCGCCACGCCGGACCTGGACCAGGCGGACGTCCGACGTCAAGTCCGGTCTCGTCGACTTTTTTTTTGAGTCGGCGCCCCGTGTTTTTTGGGTGGCTTTAAAGGGAAGCCTTGGGGGAACCCGTCGGAAACCCATGCAAAACCATGGGAAACAATGGGAAGCTTGTGGGAAACCCATGAAACAACTATGTAGCTTTTGCGTTGGTGCCCTTCTTTTTTGGGTGGCTTTAAAGGGAGACCACAAGGACAACAGCCCCCATTTTTCGGGCTCCAAGTCCCAAAAGAAGACACGTAGAAGCTCATGAAGAGGGGCGAAGCTTCAGCCAGAGATGTGGGATGACGAGGCTCGCAGCGGTCGGTTCGACCAAGGCCACCCCGGGGGTGATCAAGGCCCTGCACAGCTCCTTCCGGGAGAAGCGGTGCAAGGAGTGGGAAGGGGTGGGGGGTGGGGTGGGTGAGGGTGGGTATTTGCTAGTGTTGGAAGGGTTTGAAGATGTCGTCATATCTGTTTTCATCCTGTGTTCTTTTTCGGATCTTGGTCGTGGCGGGCAGGAGGTGAGTGGGGAAGACACCAGGTGTTGAAGTACACAATGCGATTGCTTTTTTCGTTTCAAGAGCAAAGCGGCCGCTTCTTTCGAGATGGCTGTGGGTCAAAACCAATGGGATCCCATTTTGGTTGTTAGGTGAATTCACCACCATTTTAGGTTACCTATTTTAGTGGTTGGATTGGGTCCCGTTCACTGGGGGCTAACCGATTTGGATTTTGACTCATGGCCAGAAGTACGCCTTTTTGCCCGAGGAGATTCGGAAGTGGCTGAAGCAGAACCCCAAGGTCACCCACTTCTGCGCCATCGACGATGTGGACCTCAGCCTGCCCGACAAGAAGCGCTCAGACACGGAGGTCTTCCTGGACCCGGACCGCGAGTTCGTGAAGACGTGCCTCGGAGCGCGGTCTGCTGGTTTTGGGTACACGACTGGGTGGCCGGCCTTCCTTGGACATGGATCTCACTACAAGCGCATTGCGAATATATATATATATATATCGAATATATATAGATATATAGATATATCGAATATATATATATATATATATATATATATAGATATATCGAATATATATATATATATATATAATGTATATATATATATATATCTGCCCACGCACCGGAGAATCTGAAGGTCGAGAGGTCCTTCGCCCCATTCTTGCCCTCTCCCTCCCATGGACATGAGGGCAATAGCAACAACTGGTGAACCCAATCTCCCCACTCAGCTTCCGGGTCCGATTTTCTCGACTTCAAATCTTCCCCCACAGATGTCTTTCTCTCAGCCCAACCGACCCGCGCGAGCCCGTAAGCCTAGGAACCCCATCGTGGGGCTGACGATGGACATCGCCAAGCTGGTGATCTGCGACTCTGCCCGATGGATGCCGCCCGTTTTTTCAACTTTTCCTTGGGGGAAGGATGGGCGGCGCCGCTTCCCCTCTTTAAACTCAACCCTTCCCACAAAAAAACACCGCACGCCGCTTCTTTTTTCCCCTATGAGAAATCCACTGATCTCCACACCCCTAACTCAAACCTTTTGCAACCAAAAGTCGGAGGATCCGATGGTTTTTTTTTGGACGCCTTTTCATCCGGTTCTTTACCCTAACTCCGCCCTTTGCCCCAAGAATGTCCGGAGGATCGGAGTGGTTTTTCTCTCCTGCGGGGCGCCGACGAAGGGCCGAAGGGCCGACGGGTGCTGAGGCTACCTCAACGGCCTGGAGCCCTCAGAGGAGCTGCTGGCCGCGGTCTTCGGGGAGATTTCCGGCACCACCTGAGGGGCGCCTGCGGCGTGCAAAACGCGGCGCGGGTGGCCCAAAACGGGTGGCCAGTTCAACTGGAGACGGGAGAGTGGAGCGAAAAAAAGCAGAAGAAAGAACGGAAGAAAAGGAGCAGGGAGAAAACATGGGGTGAAGATGTGTGTGGCTTTGGTTGGTCCGTCCCACTCAAGACCAAGCCATGCCGTTGGGTCTTTCAATTTTCCTAGCGTGCTTGCAAGGTGTAAGATCGTCGACTGAACGTGACTGACCGGGAGCAAGAAGCTGGCTCTCTTTGGATTGCTCCACTTTTGGGGGCCTCTCTTGGTCTCGCGAGTTCCTGTTCAGGGGCGTTCGCAAGGGATCAATGTGATCAAGCTCGGAGAGCCATCGGACTGACAAGCGGACAACCATGGATCACGTGGGCTTGCGATCGGGGTTGAAATTCCGGAAGGGGAGGAGATTCATGTCTCCTCGCAGCCCAATATTGGAGCGTTCAATGAGGCTGGTTGCAGAACAGCCACGCCACGCAGCTGCATTCCTTTGAACGGGAAAAAAAACAACGAGTCACAACCGCATGCGAACCACTACCATGACACACAAGTTTGGCAATTTTGCTCTCTAAGCGTTTTTCTAACGCTACCTTCCCGATTCTTGCCACGCCACAACCGCCAAATCATCGGGCTCCAAACCACCAATCAATTGAAAGCTGAGAATGGTTGGAATCGAGCCCTAGAACAAAGACGGTGATCAGCTCGCCCAAGCCATAGCTTGCTGGTGCTCAGCAGGGAATGAAAAATGGAGTGACCCTTGCAAACCGTCCAACTTTTGTGGCTTCCTTTGTTCGGGGATCACTTCCTGGGTGAAATTCAACCAAATTCCCAAATTCCCACATAGGGGAATTCCCTTGGTTCATTCCCCACCTATCGCAGAGTTTTGGGTTTCTAATGGCTGAGAACCAAACACCTATCGCGTCCAAGCCATAGAGAACCCTCGAGCTTTCGGCTTATGGCGCTCTGCGCGCCGCCCTGGAGGCGCGCGGTGCGCGGGGACGGGAGACCCGGGCCGCTCATTTGGGGGCCAACAAGGGGCGGTGGCCAAGACCTCGTGGCAAAAGCGGCGTTTTTTTTGGGAAACGCCCAACCCGGCGTTCTTTTTGTGTGTGTTTTGTTTTGTGTTCAAGACGCCAACCCAATAATATATATATATATACACATATTTCTTTAGAATGATAATGATACATATATTGCAAATCATGATAACAATAATGACGATAGTGAGGACAACCAATAAACCACAAACCACTTGGGGGAATAGTCGCAAGCTCGGCGAGGCCACTGGCCAAGCCACTGGTAGCACGGCGCTGCACGCCTCTTGCCTCGGCAGCCGACAGTTGGGCTCCCGTCGCTGGTCGCTGCAGTTGTCCGTAATCGAGCGACTAACCTCGTGCTGCTTTTTTGGGATCGGCTTGCTTGGAATGCGTTTTTTGGGTTTTGGTTTTTTAAAAGAAGACACACATATGAAATCCCTAGAAGAAGGCACTCGCCGAACCAATCGAAGAATTCATTCCCGGGCCGAATTCCACCACGGCACGTGCCATTGAGGTCGGTGCGGCTGCCTAGAACCTCTGGGCCCTTTGCTAGCTTCGAGACGTTTGGGTGGCGCTGGAGCGCGGGGCCCAGGTTTGCTGGGAATGACGGAGAGGGTCTTGGGAATGGACAAAGTGATTTTGTTTTTGTTTTTGTCCCAGAGGTTGGATGGTGCTCGAAACATAGGAGATGGATGTCCACTTGGGTGATGGGAATGAATCTGTTTGGGGGGTCCCCGAACAAAGGACGCCATAGGTTGGATGGTTTTTCTTGGGGCCATTCCAAATGGACCAAGGCTCGGAAATGACCAGGGTCTTGGGAATGGACAAAGGGATGTCCGTTTCAAAAGAGAAACACAGGTTGGATGTTTTTTTTTCCCCTTTCGTGGGGTCATTCATTTCTCATTCCCTGAGAACCAGCAAGATTAGGAACCTCCATTGTCCAAGACCAGACCTCAATTCATAGTGAAGTGAAACGGTCAAGAGGCTAAACATCAGTTCTCGAAAGGGGCTCGCCCCACAAAAAGTGGATGAAGCAGCTTACTAGAAAAAATCAGAGCTTACTTGCTGGATTACGCAATCTTGAGCACATTTCGAGCACATTTCATTTCATGGAGACATCTCGAGCACTGCTTGGAGAAAGATGCAAATTGCGGGCCTTCTGATACAGGACAATTGGGGCTATGTTTTGGCCGCTGTCCACGACAATATTTTCCTATTGTCATGGATGCATGAGGACGAAGAGAATCTGGAAACACATTCATGTGGTGATTCAGAATTAAACGGTGGAGATCCTTATGGGTATGTGTCACAAGTTGATTATTTCCTTTTGGTTTGCGTTTCAACCAAGGCAAAGGCGTACCCGCACAAAACGCGCACACACACACACACACACATCCTGATGGGCATGTTACTCTGTATCTCTCTCTCTCTCTCTCTCTCTCTCTCTCTCTCTCTCTCTTCGGTTAGGCTCCAACCACACGGTGGACGAGAATTTGCTCCGCTTGGCGCTGGTGGCTCGATTCAACTGCTTCCGCGTGGCGAATTACACCACCGGGCGGTGCAGTGCGATGATGTGCCGACCGCCGCGTGTGAGCGGCTCCCGCGTGGAGGTGGAGGCGAACGGGGCGGCTCAGTTCCGAGGGCGATCCATGGGCCAAAGTTAAATCTCCAGGGCCAGGAAGCATTTCTATCAGTGAAATGGGTTAAATGGACAATCAATGCTTCCATTGGACAGTGGGGAAATCACTGAATCAGTGGCTAAGTTGTGGGTTAAATGGACACCCCACTAAAGCCACGAAAAAGTCACCGAGAGAAGCCAAAGGAACCGGATGCCTGGGAACCACCCAGTCCCTGTAGATGTAGGGAGGCCTCAGAATCCTTCCCAGCCGCAGGTTTTGGTCTTTCCGTTGAGCAGGGCAGGCCATTTTGGGGGCCACCCCATTCTTGACCCACAGCCAAGTTGTTCAGATGTGCCTCTGCGAGAGATGCGGGTTGATCAATATTCCCCAAACGGCCCCCCAAAGAACCATTTATATAGTGGTTGAAGCGTCATCTCTTTGTAGCGGTTTTCCCCAATGTCCATCCCATGTAAAGGACCTTTTGATCAACCATATTGTGGATTCTCCTATTACGAGACCTGTTCCTGAAGCAGTGGTGTCTCTGCCCATCGCAAGGTGGTCGGCTTCGGCGTCAACGCGCCCCTCGGCGATGTTTGAGTCCGGGAGATGCCACTCGAGTGGCTCGCTCCGTGCCCAGGCCGCCCCGCTTCCAGCGCGCCCGAAGAGAAACGGACGAAGGGGGAGTCTTCCCCCGCGACGTGTGGGCGGGCGTGCGGCCCTTCAGCCGCAAGACCCCGGCCAACAACGAGATCCACTCGGAGATGTCCATCCTGGGCCGTGCCTCGGCCCACCGACGACCGCCTCAGCCGCCGCCGCGTGTTCAACTGGGTGCCGAGGTTGCGCAAGAGCGGGCATCCCGGTGAAGGGCGCCTGGTTCTACGTGGCGCGCCTGGGCGGATCGGTGAAGGACTCACAATGTCTTGATCCGGGCATATTGATCTCAACTCCAAGGGCGACATTCTCAAACACAGTGGCAGGTGGACTAAGTATATCTAACTACTCAAACAAAGAACGTGTCTGAAGCAGTGGCTCCAGCATGTCTATACCGTTTTCTACCTTGACGTTGGCCCTGGCACATCAATTACCACATCTAGCCCAACACCTTTGCTGAGCCACAGTGAATCTTCATTCCGTGGCCCACGTCATCCTTTCCATTGGCTGTGGATGACATTGACATGGGCCGCGGGGGAAAAGAAACAAGAACAGCACACGACTCACATTTCACTCATCCTGTTCCTCGCAGATGACAAGGAGCTTGGGGGAAAGCACGGAGATAGATATCCGTTTCTCTGGTCCCCTCTGCGATGACGTGGGCCGTGGGATTTTGAGAAGCCTAAGCTGTCCTCAAGCTGTCGCTTGCTTTTTCGGAACATCCCCCACTGGTTTTGGGGCCGAATCAGAGGCTGCCGCCCTGCTGGGAGTGCTGCAAGGCGCTGGTGGCCGCCGGCGTGGCCCGCGTGTTCTTCAAAGGCGAGGGGAGGGAGGGAGGGGAGGGGAGGGGAGGGGAGAGGGAGAGGGAGAGGGAGAGGGGGAGGGAGAGGGAGAGGGGGAGGGAGAGGGAGAGGGGGAGGGGAGGGGAGAGGAAAAGGGAGGGGCGAGGGGAGGGCAGGGAGAGGGAGAGGGAGGGGGAGAGGGAGAGGGAGAGGGAGAGAGAGGGGGAGGGAGGCGAGGGGAGGAGAGGGGGGAGGGCAGAGGGAGAGGGAGGGAGAGGGAGGAGAGGGAGAGGGAGAGGGAGGAGGAGGGGGAGGGGGCTAAAACCCATTGCAGTGAAGAACAAGACATTGTTTGCAGTGACAAGTCATATGAAGTTTGAATAGGGTGGAAGGGTGGGTGAGCCATAATTCGATTCCATTTTGGCTCAAGTATCCCCCCCTAGGAAATTGATTTACGTGGGTGGGGATGTCACTATTGCCTGATGCAGTGGTTCTTAGGGCATGGACCACGTTAGCAGATGCTGCTGGATGGGCTAATGTGGATGATGGTTTACTGCGTTGTCTCAATAGACAGTTGGGAGATGTATCCAATAATTCATTGGAACTGACAGCAGTACTGCCCCCACCTGTCCTTGTCGCAGCAATTGATGACGCCAAGCGTGGTGCCCGTGGACTGACAGCGCTTGAGAAGGCGCAGCTCATTCTCATGCTGGACGCGATCAGGCGCAAGTTTGGGTTGAGTCTGGTTTCGGAAACCATTTCAGTTAACACAATCACGACCATTGCCCCGCTCCCAAATGCATCGCCGTCGTCAAGCAGCGGGCGCAGCAAGATCAAGATCAAACTGTCACAGGTAGTGGATCAAGGGTCAGACATGGAAATTGAGCAGCTTGACCACAAGGCCTTGCAAGCTGCTAGAAGACTTTTTGTCACCAGTGAAGGTGACGCACCCCTTGACAAGGAAGAGGTGACGGATGCACAGTTAAGTGCGCTGCAGGCCAAACTATCAGCTGGCTTGAGTCCATTTGTGGACATGGGAGTTTGGGGACCCTATGGTGAAAGACTTGCAAGGCAGATGAAGTTTACGTCCCAGGTTCTCAAGGACGGCCAGTGGAAGAGTGTGGAATTGCCGGGCGCTTCTTCAATCACAGCCTGGGAGGAATCGTGGAGGATCTTTCGTACAGCTATGTTGAATTTGGCAAGTTCAGCCGTGCTTGACAGGTATGCCTCGGAGTTCAAAAAGAGAGTCGCTGAATATCCGGATTGCTGGCATATCGCTGCACAAGCTGACATCCGTTGCAGGAGTGAATGGTGGACTGCTGAGCTACGTCGGCAAGAGGAGTTCCATCAGGCACACCCGGGCTGGTCAAATTTCAACCCATTACAACCGTGGAATGGCGTTATTAAATCTGCAGCAAGCTGTGCAGAGTTCTGGCATCGTGAGTTTGAAAAGCCGGCGTTGTTGTACAAGATGAACGGGTCCAAGCCCATGCGAGCAGTTCCCGACCCACTTGCACCGGTTGGGTTTCGTCCTGGTGGCTCTTCCAATGAACGCCGAGGGTATGACCCAAAGAGACGGGACGGACGTTTCTTCAAATCGGTGGGTGGGGTCAACATTTGCTATGATTGAGCGCGTTGTGAGGATGGATGTTCTGAAGTGTGTCCCAAGGGCATGGCACACATCTGCGAGTGGTGCAGACAGCCCCACCGTACCATCCATTGTCCCCAGGTGCCCGGTTGGAAGGATGATCGCAAGAAAGGAAAAGGAGGAGGAAAAGGTGTCCAGAAGGGCATCAAGAAGAGAAGGCACATGTGACAAGAGGAGGAATCGCCTGAGCCGTCGGCCTCGGTGGCAACAGTCGAATCGGCTGTGGACAGGCTTGCAGAACTACGGGCGAAGCTCAGGAAGGTACAAGCAAGGCGGTTTCACAAATGCGTTTACAACTTCGGGAGAGAATTCTCCCCCTTCTGACAAAGCAGAGAACACAAACCTGAAGGATGCTACATTTCTCGAACTCTTTGCAGGTGAGGCTGGATTGACCGCTGCAGTTAATAGAGCTGGAATGGTTACCTTGCAATGCGTTGACGTTGATGGGGTTGGCGTGGAACTACAACAATTTGATTTGCTAAAGGCTGGACCCTTCAAGAAAATCAAGGAGTTGCTGAAGTCTGGAAAGGTCCGATGGTTGCATATGGCGCCCCCTTGCAAGACCTTCTGCAAGGCATTCTGACCGTTTTGGAAAAGTGAAGAAGTTAAGGTCCAGAAAACATCCTCAAGGTTTGAACCCAAGCCTAGAGTCGTTCGTGAAGGAAATCTGTTGGCGGCTCGCAGCGCACAGCTGGCAATGCTTCAGTACAAGGCTGGTGGATGGTTTAGCGTTGAGAATCCTGCAACTTCATTTATGTGGATCTACGCACCCGTGAGGAGACTTCTGAAATTGGATGGGGCGCAGCTTTTGACTGGAGATCAATGCATGTTTGGGGGCGAGTATCGAAAACCCACGAGCTGGCTCACCAATGCAGAGCACATCAAGAAGATCGCTGTTAAATGCCCAGGCCCTCCAGAGCATGAACATCCAGCACTTGCAGGTAAGGTTAGAGATTTTCATGGTAAACTGGTGTGGAAAACTTCTTTGGCTGCAGAGTAACCTGAGTGACGCCTTAGCCAAATCCTACAAAGCTGCCATCAATGAGAAGCCACTTCGACCAGCCGTTAAACCGGTTGCTGTCCGTGATGGAGAGATCCAACAACATCAAGATTCGAAACGCTGGCAAAGGGAGCAAGAGAACGAACAGTGTGTGGGGGGTCTTCGTAACCCACACAGGTCCATGGAACTAGTGTCCGGCTGGAGACCGGTTGGTGCTGACTTGTTTTGGGCGATTGATTATTTACAACGGGCTACGCAACTGTCAGACCTTGGTGCATGTGTCGGTGGACAGCCGCCTTGCCACGTGGATGCAGAACTTGCGCAGTTGCGGCAACACCTTGGGGCCAAGCTTTCAGCGGAGCGTAGCCATTCGAAAGGTTTGTGGTCGGAGCTTCTGGTGCAGTTAGTCGAAAAGGCTGGAGACCCAGACAAGGAAGCAGCTACATGGCCCAAGGTAGGCACGCCGCTGGGTATTTGTGAGACAATTCCATTTGGGCATGTTTTCCCACGAATGGAGCCCGACCAGTTTGTGACTGAATGTGAACGTATGGCATCCATCAATGACCTTGCTGGAGCTGATGGAAACTACACCACCTACGAGGAGAACAAGCGTGATGCTGAAGAATTATTTTCTTTGGAGCTCAGCAAGGGCTTCGTGGACTGGAGTTCAGAGAGGGAGCGCTTGGAAGCGAAGTATGGCAAGCTGGTTACTTCCAGCATTGGAGTCATTGTCAAGCAGAAACGTGATGGTAAGAAGGTTCGTTTGGTTCATGACCTACGGAGGAGTGGAGTTAATGCCACCATCAAGTTTGAGGAGCGTCTGGTGTTGCCACGTCTACGGGACGTCATGGAAGACAGCATGATCCTTTTTGAAAATCTGCAGCCTGGCGAACAGCTCCTGAGTTTGGACTTTAAGGATGCGTTCAAACAGCTGCCGGTTCGTCATTCGGAAAAACGCTTTCTGGCTGGGGAGGCATTGGACGGTTTCTTCATTTATCACGTAGTTCTGTTTGGCATTCGCGCAGGGCCGTTAGTTTGGGCCCGTGTGGCAGCACTCGCCAGCAGAGCAACACAGTCACAAACCGGCTAGGCGTCCAGACGCTCTGCTGACCTGTAGACATCTTGAGGATGCACCTCAATACTGGAATGGTAGTGGATAGTTGCTGCGTGCATCGGAGTGCCAGAGGTGTGCTTGAACACAGTGTTGTATGCACAGGGGCAATCAGCATGACAGGTCAGAGGCGTTGTAAGCGCCAGGTCATGAGCTGGACCACGGTTTACGTCCCTCCTTGGCCCAGGCAGGAAGAGCGGAGTGTGCTGGAAGAGCCGAGGACAGGCAGCTGCAAGCTGTTTCAGGGTTACTTCGTTGCACGCGAAGGGGTTGCGGGGTATCGCATTATTCGTACGGCATGTAGTCCAATTGCGGTGTATCGCATGGGTCATTGGACACAGCAGTGCAACTAGGTCACTGCGCAGTGTTAGGTTGGATGCTTTGTGGTTCCCATGTGAAAGTCTTGCATGCTTCTGTGACACGTTGTTTCGACTTTCCGCTGCCGTTAGGATCATGAAACGCTTATCACAGGATCTCACTTCGGCGGACTTAGGCAGATCCTGGTCAGGCCTTGCCAGGACTGTCAAGGTGGAGGAAGCTGAGGAGCCGCCGGTCTTGGGCCCGTCATTGAAACAGCTGAAAGTCACAAAGACGTGTGTTGCGTGTCAATGTGAGATCAAACAAGAGGCTGCGGCCATGTCATGTGACAGGTGTGACGAGGGGCCGTTACACAAAGCTTGTTTGCAACAACATCGCTGCCCTACGGGAACCTCCGTTAGTGGGGGGTTGGTTTTGGTGACTTCCGTCTGGCACCAAAGCTTCCGCCTCCTCCGGCTCTGCTCCCTGGCTCACCGGACGCCGCCAAAGATGGGTCGCGCCCCCACTTGCTTCGCTATGCTTCTGGCGCTATGGATGAGAAGGGTATTGAAGGCCCTGGACCTCAGGTGCCGAAATCCCTTTCCCATGAGGCGCTGGTCTTGGAATGGCGTCTGATTCGTTGGATGATGACACGGCAGATGTGATCAAGTCAGCAGAGAATCAGGGTGAAATGGATGGTGAGGCAGCCATTCAAAAGTTTCGCTTGGAACAGCCTGAGGTGAACAACTATGATAGAGGCACTGCCACCAGACTCCACGATGTGATCCATGACAACGCGGCGTTTGAGAAGGCCTTGGAACAGTTCAAGGAGGACAAGATAGCTAGCTCAAACAAGGCTGCGCACGACTCGAGACGAGGTTGGTGGTCGAGCAAGGCGGCCCTCATGAACTTGCAGGCCTATCCAATGACGCCCCAGTCCGTGGATGTGATGGGAACATTGTGGCTTCCGGCATCCAAGAC